CAGTGCCAGCAGCACCTGCGTCAGTACCAGCAGCACCGGCGTCAGTACCACTAGCACCGACGTTAGTACCAGCAGCACCGATGTCAGTACCGGTAGCTCCGCCTACAGCAGCAGCGCCGACGGCAGTTCCAGTAGCACCGACGGCATTACCAGTAGCACCGACGTCAGCTCCAGCAGCACCGACGTCAGTACCAGTAGCTCCGACGTCAGCACCAGAAGCACCGACGGCAGTACCAGCAGCACTGGCGTCAGTACCAGTAGCTCAGACTCCAGCAGCAGCATCGACGTCAGTACCAGCAGCACCGACGCCCATACCAGCAGCACCGACGTCCCTACCAGCAGCACCGACGGTAGTACCAGTAGCTCCGACTCCAGCAGCAGCATCGACGTCAGTACCAGTAGCACCGACGTTCCTCCCAGCAGCACCGGCGCCAGCACCAGAAGCACCGACGTCAGGACCAGAAGCATCGACGGCAGTACCAGCAGCACCGGCGGCAGTACCAGTAGCTCCGACTGCAGCAGCAGCACTAACGTCAGTGCCAGTGGGACCGACGTCAGTTCCAGTAGCACCGACGCCAGCAACAGCAGCACCGACGTCAGGACCAGTAGCTCCGACTCCAGCAGTAGCACCGACTTCAGTACCAGTACCTGCAGCCCCCCGAGGAGCCGCGCCGCCGCCAGGCTCTCCCCCGCCTGGCCCGCCGTCCGCTTCGGCCACGGCGCCGACACAGCCATCCCCGTGCCCTGGCGGCGAGGCGCCCCTGGTCACGTCGGGGGCATGGGCCCGCTTGCTGATGAGGCTGACCAGCCTTACCTGGCCGGGCGAAGGCCGAACCCGCCTCCCACCGGAAGTGGTACGAGTAGCAGTGCAGGAGGTCAGCCCCTACATGGTCGTGGCTGCGGGCACCCACGCGCTCGTGGGCACGCGGGACGGGGACGCCCTCGACGTACCATGCCTGGAGGACGGCAGGGACGCATACTACGCTGCCGCAGCTGGTCTGCCGAGCTCCGACAGCGCGGCAGCCGACGACCTCCCCCCGGTGTTGCTGGCCATAGGATTACGCCACGACGGCCTCCAGGCTCTGCGGGCCGCGCTGGCCGCTGCCGACCGAGCGGTGGACATCCTCGCTATCGCTTGCCGGCGGACTGCCTCGCCGGGCGTAGCAACGGGCACGGACTTGTGTCTTCTGGCGCATGCCGAGTGGGGAGCCCGGAACCTCGCGATGGCAGCCCATTTGACAGCGGTCGGACAGCCGCTGACAGATCGCGGCCGCGCCGTGCAGTGCTTCGCCCTCCAGGTGCCCTTGCGCCCCGAGCCAGCCCGCCCTCCTGTGGAGACGATCGTGACTTGGGCCGGAGCGGCCGAGCTGGCCAGCGAATGCCTGCACATCCTACTCCACGAAGGCCTGGACCCGCACGTGCACGCGGCCCTCCTTCGCTTCCAGGCTGCGACCAGGGCGCGTGGCCTGAGTATGGAGTGGGCCACCGAATCCCTCAGACCCGGAAGCGATCCACACCAGGCGGGGTCCCACGTGGCGCCACTCCTTTACCACGCAATCCGTGTCACGTCAGCGCCAGCGGCCCCAGACATCGCAACTTTGGGAAGTGCTCTCGCAGCCATCCAGCACCAGGGCTTCACCTTGACTTGGTGGCGGGATCGAGATACGCACCATGCCGTGCACATCCCGATGGCCCGCGGCAGCATCCCAGCAGCGGTGGCCGCAGCGGAGGAGCCCGCTCTCCAGATGGGTGGCCGCGTCGCAGCGCGGATCGATGGGCTGTTACTGCTGGACCTCCTCCCAGCAGTCACGGAGGGCGTGGTCCGTGCGGCACAGCTTGACCAGTGGATTTCCCCGGCCGCGCCGGCCAGCCGCATCCTCTGGGCTGGTGACGCCCACAGGCCGCGGGGGTTCCTCTCCACTACGGGGCCGACGGCAGGCCATGATCTTCTCTGGCTGGTGGTCACCAGAAACCAGGTCTCCGACGGGGACGTCGCGCGCCGCCTGCAGGACCTACTGGCGCACCCCGTCCACGTCTCGACAGTCAACGCCCTGGACCCATCCACCGACAGGTTCGACAACATGAGCCTTGTTCGGGTCGCGGCGCCTGCGGCCGACCGCATGCGCATCCAGGTGGGGAGCAGCGGCCAAGTGACGGTTGCCGGGGTGCCTTGCCGGGCGTTTCCTTTTGGATCGACCCGCATTCGGACGCAAGGTCACCGCGCCCCGCGCACGCCTGACGCGATTCGCCAGCTCTTGGCGGCCGCGTCGCGCCCAGGCGCCGCGGCTGGAGGGCGCTCCACCACTTTCTCGCAGGTGGCACAGAGGACGCCCCTCGAACCCTCGGGAGCCGCTCTTGGTCCGGCGGTGCCCCGGCTGCTGGAGTTCCGGACGGGCCCATGGCCGTCGGGCGGCCAGGCAGATGCGGACAGTTGGGCAGACGTCTGGACGCGCATGCTCTTCCTCGGGACCGTGGTGCACGCGCGCCTCTGGGTGCCAGCGGAGCCCACCCGCCCGGCCTCCCGCCCCCCGCCGCTGCCGCTAGGATGCCAGGACCACTTTGCGCAGACTCTCCACTCCTCTTTGGGGGCGGGGGCCGCCTTCCGGCAGGAGGGCGGGGTCTCGGGCCTCAATGGCTGGAGCGACCACCTGCTTCCCGGCGAGCTCCTCCTCGTTCGCGTCGCCGCGGGGAGCCGCCTGCGCCTCCGCGCACCAGGGGAGGAGCTGTCGTGGACGCCTACGTTGCCAGCGTGGATCGCGGTGGTGCACCCCGCCGAGGCTGACGGCCGGGCCGCGGCTCACCAACTCGATGGATTCCTGCACGTGGACGTGGAGCTGGCCGATGGCCCTGTGTGGGTCGCCCGGCGCCCTCCATCGGGCCCTGCGCTGGCGACCCGGCGAGCCGCGGCGGCGCCGCCGCCGGCAGCTGCAGCACCAGCTCCTACCGCCCCGCCTCGTGACCCCCGTACTTTCCGGGAGCGTTTACAGCACCTCGGAGATCCACCAGCTCCACCAGGCCCTCTCCCGTCGGCGTTGGTGGACCCAGCCAGGGCGGCCGCCCGGCTCGCGCTTCAGCCAGTCGCGGACACGCCAGCGGCCCGATATGCGGATCTCTTGGCGCATTGGCTGGTGGCCCACATCACGGCTTCCCAGCGCCCGCAACCCCCAATCAGGTGGCAGTGGGCGATGCTGATCGTTGCTTGGCTGCTGGAGGTGTTGGGCATCGCGCAGCTGTGGCAACAGGACGCCGGTGCCGCGGAGGACCTCCTCACGGAGCTCCAGATTGGCAGTCCTGCCCGCCGGCGCCAGCCCTTCGAGCCGTGGCAGCACGGGCGGCGCGGCGTGAGGCCAGGCGCGCCGCTCCCAGGCAGCCGGGTGCAGGACGCCGCCGGCGCCCGCAGACACGGGCACACCAGCTACGCACTGTCAGCAGAGGCCAGCGCGGCCTTGGACGCTTTGGTTCACGCGACGCTCGCTGCCCAGGCACCTGGCGTGAGCCCAGCGGCGCCGGCGGCGCCAGCAGCGAGCGCCACCGACGCGGCTGGGCAGGACGGGCTTGGAGGGACCAGTGGAATGGACGTTGATGGCGCCACCCTCGGCGCCCCCGTGCCCTCCACTGCGCAGGTTCCTGCCGCGGCCGCGGCCCCTCCCCCTGCAGACGCTGCAGCGGGAGCCACCCCGCCGCCAGGCGGTGGCTACCTAAACGGTCGCCCGCAGCATGGACTCGTGCAAGCAGCAGCGCCAGCCTCCAGCGCTGGCACGGCTCCCCCTGCAGCGCCCGCCACCGGATCGCTCTCCGGCCCTTCGGGCGCGCTCGCGCTGCCAACTGGTGCTGCGTCGCCAGCGCCCGTGCTTCCAGTCTCGCCAGTAGCACCCGCGCCGGCAGCCGTTGCCGCGCCCAGGGCCGGCCCCGCCTCCGCCGAGGCCCCCCCGACACTGTCGCCACAAGGGCGGCCGCAGCTGTTTGCCCCGGGCCAGACTGCCCCCTTGCGCCTCGGAGAAGAGCATCCCGGGCAGCTTGCCCACCAAGGCGGAGCGAGGGCGTTGCATCTTGGTGCTGTTGCAGACCTTTCGGGCGACGGTCAGGCCCTCAGCAGTGACCGCAATGGCGGCGGCGGATCCGGCCAGACGGCCGCGCCGACGACCATGCAAGCAGCAGCACCGACGTCAGCGCCAGCACCGGCAGCAGCACCGACGTCCGCACCAGCGGCATCACCGACGTCCACAGCAGCACCGACGGTGGCTCCAGACCTAGCTGCACCACCGACAGCAGCAGCACCGGCGCTAGGACGCGCAGTAGCACCGACGTCAACGTCGGCACCGGTTTCAGCACCGACGCCAGCACCAGCAGCCGCACCGGCGTCAGCTCCAGCACCAACTCGGACGACAGCGCCCGCACCAGCAGCAACACTGACGCCAGCACCAGCACCAGCGCCGCCGTCACCAGCAGCACTGACATCAGCTCGGACTCCAACAGAAACACCGACGCCAGCACCAGTAGCACTGACATCAGTACCAGCAGCACTGACGTCCGTACCAGCAGCACCGACGTCAGTACCAGCAGCACCGACGTCCGTACCAGCAGCACCGACGTCAGTACCAGCAGCACCGACGTCAGTACCAGCGGCACCGACGTCAGCGCCAGTAGCTCCGACTCCAGCAGCAACACCGGCGCCGGTACCACCAGCATCGACGTCACGGAACCCCGTCCGGAGCACGCCGGGCACACCAGCAGCGCCCGCCGCAGCGGCACCAGGCGCCCCCCCTTCGTCCGGGGACCGCGCGGACGGCGCAGTTGCGACGGCGCCCCTCGGCAGCCGGGGCCGCGACCGAGGGCGCGGACATGGTGCTAGCGGCGCCGGGGCCCGCGCTGCGGCCCGCCGCCGCGGCTCAGCTGGCCCTGCCCCGCGACTGGCGGGAGTCCGGCGCCGATCCCCTGTGCCCGCCGAGCCGGGCCTCGAGGACGTCGCCCACGGGGCCTGGCCCCCCTTGCCTCGCCGCATGCGCGTCCGGCAGGCGGGAGCGGAAACGGCGGCACCTGGACATGACCGCGACCCCACGGGCCCAGGCGACCCTGCATTCCAGAGCTGGGCTGGATTCCTGGACCAGCCCGCCGTTCAGGCCGCGGCGCCCAGCGACACGGCCGCCGCGTTGCCTGCCCAGCCGGTCTGCTTGCTCTCGCTCTTCGACAGCCTTGGCATGACGCGCGTGGCGGTGGACGGACTCTTGCGGGACTTCCGCCATCCTGGATTAGCCCAGTCAGGCTTCGCCGAGGCTGACGCGACACTTGCCGCGGCGGTTGAGCGCAGCTGGGCCACCCAGGCTCGCCTCACAGGTACGACGCCTCACGTCAAGCTCGCTGGCGACATCTGGGACCTCTTCCGCGGGGCGGACCCTCCGCTGGCCCGCTTCGGCCGGGGCTTCCCGCCAGGCAGCCTAGTGCTGGTGATCGCCGGCACCCCTCCCCAGCAGCTGCATGCCGCGGGCCCGCACCAAGGCCGCCAGGGCCTATGCGGCGACGACTCGTACCTCTTCTGGACGACACCGCTGGTTGTCTGGAGCCTGCAGGGCCTGCGGCCCGACTGTCACGTTCACGCCGTGGTGGAAAGTGCAGCCGCCACCCGCCCCCTCCATAGGGCGGCGATGACCAGGGCCCTCGGCGATCTCGACGACGGTGGACACGTACTGGTGGTGGACTCCAGGGCATGGGCTCCTTTCCCGCGGAGGCGCCTTTACCTCAGCACGCTGCCGATCGTGCTGGATCCCAGCTTCACGCCTGTCCGCCGGCCGGCTCCCTGGGAGGGCGGCTTCGCACCCCACTGGGACGATGGAGGTACTGCGCCGATGACGCGTTCCACAGGGCTCGGGGATCAGATTCGGCACAGCACTCCCCAGTACCACCCGCGCACGATGCTATACGCGGCCGACGCGCCCTGGCGGCAGCTCACGCTGAACGACGTCGCGGCCCGATTCCGCCGCATCCTCCCCAGGCACCTCCTCCCCGCCTTCGGGCTCGTCCTGGGAGGGAGGTCGCTGGAGAACAACCTCGAGGCACAGAGATTCGCTTGTTGGGTGGAGACCCACGGCGCAGCCCACGGGGTGAGGATGCCCTCCCCCGCAGAGCGCGCGGCTGCCACGGGCCATGGGCCCTATCTCGCGGGGCTCGGACTGGAGGCCCGACAGTTGTTCGATGCGGTCGGGAGCCATTTGGACGTGACCGCCCTGCAGGTGCGGCTCCGCGGACCACTACGCGATTGGCTCCAGGGAAGGACAGGGCATCCGCGGGCGTACCACGCGCCAGCCGCGTTGCTCTCCCAGTACCGCCGGCTTGCTGCGGACGTGGACGGCCTTCCTGGCCCACCCCGCCCCACGCGCGAGTGGCCTGTACCGCTCGACCTGGTCGGCGACATGCTTGGCGCACGGCGACCCGCCCAGCGCCTGGCCGGACCTGATGCGGAGCATCCGCAGGACGGTCCTGCATCCGCTCCGGCCGCCGCACCCGCGGTGCCCGCCGCAGCCGGTCTGCCGGCCTCCAGTGTTGCGCGCGCTGCTGCAGCTCACCCCCCAGCGGCCGAAGACGGCCGCCGCGCCCAGTGATGGATCCGGACGCCGCCCTCCTCCTGGACGCCCTCGGGCGGCCGCCTCCGGGCGCCCCACTGCCCCGGGCCCGCACGCGTGCTTGGGCAGCGGTCCGGGACAGGCTTGCGGTCGCTCTCGCTGCCGCTGGGGTGTCAGCGAGGGTCCGCTCGGCGAACGCCTTGTGGCTGCTCCTCCACAGGTCCCGGGTGCCGCCGGGCGCCACATGGGGCCGCCTTTGCGAAGGCCGAGGCCTCTCGCAACTGTTGGCCGCGCTGCGCGAGGACCGCGCGGGCGCCGGCCTCCGCCTCGCCGCTTGGAACATCAGGTGGCTGGTCGACCCCCACGCCACGAACAATTCGGCCAAGCGCCGGATGGTCCAGGGGTGGCTCGACGCTGGGCGCATCGTCCTTCTCGGGGAGACGCACTGGGGCGCAGCAGAGCAGGCGCTGTGGGCAGCCCAGTTTCCGCCGGCCACGGTCCACTCTTCTCCGGCACAGGTTGGGCCAGGCGGCGGAGCTACCGGCGGCGTTGCCGTGCTGCTCCCGGCGACGCTGCAGGCGACGACCGTTACGGAGCTAGTGCCTGGGTGTGCACTGGCCGTCCACGCGATCATCGCCGGCTCCTTGGTCCGTTTCGTTTCCTTGTACTTGCCGCCGGGCGCACAGCGCGCCACCCTGGCGGCCGTGCGCGCGGCTCTTCCTGCAGCCCCCGAGGTGGCCACTTACCTCGGCGGCGATGTGAACTTCCAGTTGCACGAGCCGCGGGACGGGGAGGAGGAGCTGGCTGCGGAATTTCATGCACTTCTCCACGCACACGGCCTCACCGCAGTCACTGGCGCCGCGGTCACACGACGCGGAGCGCGCGGCCCTCCTGCTCAGCTGGATCTCGTGGCGGCGCCGCTGCGAGAGGCGTGGCGCTGGAGACCACATTTGGTATGGAGATTGCCCCTCTCCGATCATGCCGCTATTCTCGCCGGCCCTGAGGTGCAGCAGGGTACGGCGGTACGGGCTCTCACGCCGGCCACGTTCAAGGCCCTCCCCCAGGAGGCCTTCATGGACTTGCGGAGGCGGTACGCGCTGCTGGGGCAAGCGTTTGACCTCCCAGACGTCGACCTCTCAGGATTGCGCCCTGCGGCATGGGGAGACCGACCGGCGGGCCCGGAGGACGCGTTGCACGACAGGCTCAACGCGGACATCTACGGCACAGACTACGGCCCGCCCGGAGCCGACGGCGAAGGTGCAGCTGACCCGCCTGGAGGGGATGGAGGAGGGCGAGGGCGCAGGCGCCGTGGAAGAGGAGGAGGTGGAGGAGGAGGAAGACGAGGAGGAGGAGGAAATGCCGACGACGCCGGCCAGGAGATTCCTGCAAGCGAGGCCGACCTACCCGGAGGCGAGGGTGCTGGAGGGGGACGCGCTGCTGCAGCAGGAAGAAGAGGTGGAGAAGATGCCGACGACGCCGGCCAGGAGGTTCCCGTCCTCCCTGCCTTGATGCTGTATGGGCGTGCCGCCCTCTCGGCTATGCTGGCCAGCTGGTGGGAGGACTGGCGCAGGCGGCGCCCCCTGCCGGAACCTGGCACGGAGCTTGCTCGCGCTGCCGCCCGTGGTGGTACCCATGCGCCTTCTGGACCTACTGGCGAGTGGATGCGCGCCCTTGGTTGGGACGGCCGCGAGCTGAACCAGGAGGCGCTTGCCGTATGGCTCGCCTTGTGGCAACGGGAGCAGCACCACCACCGCCGAGTGCGGCTTCGGCCGTGGGAGCGCGGCGCTTCGGCGGCCAGGCCCGCGCTCGCTGAGCCCTTCCGCATAGGGCGCCAGCTTTTCAACCGCGCCCACTCACTCCGCGGTGTCCGCGATGCCCACGGCCGGTGGCACGACGAGCCAGCTGAAGTGGAGGCGATCCTTTGGGAGAATCGGGAACCGCTGTGGGGCTCAGCGCCGCCCACACCTGCCCGGGCCTCTGCTCTCCTGGATGATTATTTCTTGCACCGCGCGGTGGACTTGCCAGCACGCCCGCGGCCGCGCTGGCGGCGCCTTGCCTCCTTGGTGCTTGGGCCCTGCGGCTCCGCCGCCGGCCTGGATGCTGAGCCTTGCGAGTGCTATCACATCGGCGCCCGCTTCGTGGCTGCGCTTTTGGGACAGGCCTTCCATGCCGCGCAGTTGTGGCCGCAAGTGCTTCCCACCGTGCTGGGCCCATCGGTGGACTTGCTCATATGGATACTGAAGAAGCCCGATGGGGAGCAAGCGGGCGACATGCGGCCCCTCCAGCTGCCGACTTGCTTCCGGAGGCTATACGGCGCCGCGCTTGCCTCGGCCGCAGGCCCGGCCCTCGAGGCCCAATTCGCTGAGGGGCAGGCGGCGGTCGCGGGCGGCTCGCGCGGCCCCAACATCGCGGCCGCTTTCCGGCACCTGGAGGACCCGGCCCCGCGCCCAGCCTCTCCGCCAGGCCCGCTCTGGCAGGCACTTCTTGGGCCAGACGCACCAGCGATCGAGCGCCATATCGGCGAGGTGGAGGAGGGCGACCTTCGTCTGGCCACTGCGGCATTGTGCGCGGACCAATCAAAGGCCTTCGAACGGGTGTCTTGGGCCTGGCTCCGCGAGTTGCTCGAGCGATGGCGCCTTCCAGCCTGGGTCACCAACGGCTTCTTAAGTCTCGTGGTGGACCGCAGCGTCCGGGCCCTCCGGGCAGGCCGGGGCGGGCCCCCAAGGCGCCTCAGACGATCAATCGGGATGGGCGGCACCGCCTCGCCCCTCCTGTGGAACGTTTGCTACGACCCCATCATCGCGGGGCTGCAGCGCGCGCTCGGAGTGGCAGACCCCACCTTCATGGACGACACCGCCTGCCTCGTGGTGGGACCCCGCCAGGCCCTGCGGGTGTCCTTCTACCTGGTGTACGCTTCCTGGGTGGCCGGCCTGTGTGTCGAGGCGCACTCCTGCGCGCTCCTGGTACTGCCGGGGGCTCCTTTGGCGGTGCGGCGGACGTGCGCGGACCTCCCCGTCAGCATGGTGGACAACGGCGGCGACTTGCACATCGCCGGCCTGATTCCAGAGCTGGTCCGGGACGTTCTGGCGCACCGATGCGGGGAAGACGCGGTCCGTGGCTGGCGAATCCTCGGGCGCGCGTGCGGTTGCTCTGTGAAGACAGCATTGGTGCCAGCCGCACACCTGGACCGCTGGGCCACCTGCATGGCGGCGTCGCCCTTCGGCCGCGCCGCCGCGCGCCCGGCCTCGCCGTACTTGGGCGCGGCCTTGGGCTCGCGCGCACTGGCGGCTGGCGCGCCGAGGGGGTGGTCCGCGGGCGCCCTTGCGGCGGTGCGGCAGGGTTCTTGGCGCCGCGCCTCCGGCCGACTTCGCGAGCGGGGCGCCGCCCTCGGCGGGGCGGTCGGCTTCCCCGGACGCCGCGCGGCGGCTTGGAATTCCTACGCCGCACCATTGACGGAATACCCCACGCACGTCGGGCTCCCCTTGCCGGCGGACGAGTCCGCCGCGACCCATGCGATGGCCACGGCGCTCCGCATCGCAGGCACGCGCTGGTGTCCCACGTGGGTGGCCACAGGAATCGGCCCCTACTGCGGATCCCGCGGGGCGCCGAGATGCCCGGTGGCCGCCGCCCGTGCCACTGCGGCGTTGGCTTCGGTGCGGCGCGACGCTTGGGGCCCCCGCCCGCTGCGCGAGGAGCTTGGGTGGTGGTGGGGCCGCCTCCAGCAGTGGGCTCAGCAACCCCAGCCGGCGCCGCTTGCCCCGCGGCCGCGCGGGGGCCCGCTCGGCCTCGCAGACGCGGCGCTCCAGCTCCGCCGCGCCGCCGGCGCGCGGCTTTGGCCACAGCCGCGCCTTCGCGCCGCCCGCCTCGGCCGAGCGCTCTACGTGGCGGCCTGGGCGGCCGCCCACGCTCGGTGCCTCGGGGACTGGCTACTGGAGCGCTCCACAACGCGACGGTGGGCGCCCAGCCTCGGTGACGAGTGGGTGCTCCTCGGAGTGGCCCGGAGCTACACGGCGGCCTTCCACATCTTGCGTTTCTTGGCAAACGGCCTGCCCGGGGCGGCTCGGTGGCGGCCTTCGGACGAGCGCCCGCCCCGGCTGTGCTGCGTGTGCGCCCGACCAGCCTGCCACGCTTGGCGGACCGCTCACAGCGGGCAGCCCGCGCTGGAGTGGTGTGCGGACTGCTTCGGGCCGTGGGCCGACGGGCACGCATGGGCTGCCCGCCCGCTGCATCTGCTGCCGGAGGAGCTCCGCGCCGACGCGGCGCGTCTCCAGGCCGCGCGGCCCCGCCTCGCTCCACCGGACGCCTGGGGCCCCAGCGGTTACGGTTCGTGCCCGCTCTGCGGCGCCGGGGAGGCCGGAGCAGAGCACCTCTGGCATTGGTGCCCGGCCGTGGCGCTCGCGTGGCGCCGGTTGTTCCCTGCCGCCGATGCTCCCGCCTTCGGCGAGGCGCTGCGCGCGCCCGGCGACCTGGCCCAGCCAGTGGCCGCCGTCACTCACCAGCTGGTCTTCCACTACATGTCGCTGCTGGGCAGGGCCACTCTCCAGAGTCCGGACGCGGCACGGCGGCTGGTCCGGGCTTTCGCGGCCACCAGCGCGCGCGGCAACGCGGACAACAGCGACGACGACGACCTCGATGACCCCGACGCGGGCGACGGCGCCGCGGCCACTCACGCGCAGCCGGGCCCAGCTCGGCAGCCAGCCGGCCTTTGCCCAGACGCCTGGGGCCCGCCCGATCCGTCCTGTCCGGACTGCGCGGCGATTGCGGCCCCCGCCCTCGGGATGCGTTCTTCGGCGGTCCCTGCCGCGCTGGCGCGCGAGGAACGTGGAGGCGGCGCCATGGTTCGACGTGCGGTGGCCCGGCGCTCTGCCGCGCCCGGCGACCTCCTCGGATGCCTCACGGCCGATAGCAGCCCTGCAGCTTGGATTCCAGCAGGCGCCGGCTGGTGGCCCCGGCCTCGTCGTGTCCCTCCGGCGTTGGCCACCGCGGAGTGGTCGGTCCAGCACTGCCCTCACTGCCGCTGCTCCCGGGCGTGCCTGAGAGCTGGTCAGCGCCTTCTGCCCGACGAAGAGGTGACTGTGGCGTGGTCGCCGTCGCCAGCCCACGAGGATGCGACATGGCCCCTGGAGGTCACCTTCGATGGCGGCTCGCGGCGGTTCGACGGCGAGGAAGCGAGCGGAGCGGGCGCCATCCTCTGGCGCCACCACCTCGCCGGAGGCGCCCCTACCAGAGTGGCGGAGGTGGTAGTGGCACTTCCAGCCGGACCTGGCTCGCAACCCGCGGAGGCCGTCGGATGTCGCCACGGCCTCGGCCTGCTGCGGGGCCTGGCCTTGCCCTTCCGCCGCGCCCGCGTGGTCGGCGACAACACGGCGGCGATCCGCTACGGCGCCGGCACTGGCCGGTTTCGGCGGCTGGAGCTCCAGGCCGAGATCGAGGAGGGCTTGGCGCCTCTTGCGGCCGAGGGTTGGGTTCTCGAGTTCCAGGCCGTCCGCCGCAGACTAAACAGCGGCGCCGACGCCCTCGCCACGGAGGGCGTCGAGTGGGCCGCGGAGCTCCGCGCGCAGGGCGACTTGCGGGTGCAGTCGCGCACCAGGTGGCTGTAGCCCGGCCGCGAGACGGACGACCTGCGGGGCAGTCGCGCACCGGGCGGCTGTAGCTCGACCGTTCGCTGTTCACGGCGGCAGGCAACCAGACGTCGCTCATCGCGATGGGGAGCAGCAGCGGCCAGAGAGCCGGCAGGTGACGGCGACGAGGTGGAGGAGGCGAAGGACCAGGGAGGCGGCGGTGGAGGAGGTGGAGGCCGAGGAGGTGGAGCAGGCAGATCATTGCCAGCGCCTACACGAGCACCACGGCAGCACCGACGCCAGCAGGAACACTGGCGCCTTCGCCAGCGCCGGCGTCAGCACCGACGCCAGCACCGACGCCAGCATCGACGCCATCTCGTCCCTGAACGTGCGAGCGGACCATGCCGCCAATTGCGGAGCGAGTGGCAGATGCTGCATGTTCCCGACTGCGACCTGGTGGGCCCGAGACTCTTTGAGCCGATGGCCGATAGCCTCCTGCACGGGACGGAGTAGGTGGCTATGCATGGGAGCCAGCGCTGGTGCCAGCAGCATCGCCAGCGCCGGGACCTGCGAGTACCATCTGTCCGAGTGGGATGGCGAGCATTCTGGCACGGACCAGCGCTGTGACGTCAAGCAGGGCGACGCCGTGCAGCATGCTGGTGGCTGGGCGCGGGGGCGCTCCCAGCCGCGCCGGCTGCCTTGGGGGCCGTGAGCGGGCCTTCCTCCTCCTCCCCCGGCTCCTCCTCCTCTCCCCCCCTTGGCCTCCTCCCTCCCTGTTTCACCTGCCTTTTTAGTGCCACACGCTCGGCGCTTGCAGCTCGCCCTCCATTGCCTGCTGCGCGCCCGCGCTCGCCGAGGGGTGATCGGCGGGATGGCGACGTCGGCAGAGGTGGCCGGTCCTCTGATTCCCGACGACTGTTTTCTCCGGACGGGGTTCGACAGCCACTTCCCCCCGTGGAGGGTGGGACGCTCGGGGAAAAAGTATGTCTTCGTCTTGGTCGAGGTTTGCGGCTGCCGGGGAACAGTTGTACATGGGACCGCCTCCCTGGGGGTCGAAGAGGCCACCGTGCTTCGGACGGTCGGCGCTGTTGTCGTTCCAAGGTTCCCTGCGCGGCTCCGGCCGCTCTGGGTTCCGCCTAGGCGACTTCGCGGCCCGCCCTCTTCAGGCCCCAAAGTCTGCGGAGTCTGGGCGGTCGCATGCTTGGTGCCAGGGAGGTGGGTTGGGTACGCGGCCTCCTCGGAGCACTCTTCCGTCCCCTACTTGGTCCCAGGACGGTGCGCTGGCCGACCCGGCGTCGTCCGAGGCCCTCTGGAGCACCCTACGGTATGCGCGTAGGGCGACCATGGGGAGCGGCTGGAGGGTGCCGCTGCAAACGCGCCGAGGGGATCTTCGGGATCTTCGTCGTCAGACGCCGAGGCCGCAGGTTCTGGGCTCCCGCTAGGGCTACTTTCTTTAGCCGCTGCGGTGGCGGTTCCTGAGTCCTCGCCCCAGTCTGGTGACACCGGGCTCCTGGGCTCTCGTGGATCAGTCTCTGTCTTGCTGGCCTGCCCGGCGCCAAGCTGCTCCGCCGTTGCGGCTTGGGGCGGGGGCGCAACCTTTGTCCCCTCGTTGCCGGGGGCCTCATAGTCCAGCCTGAGGGCGCCGTCATGCTGTGCCGTCGGCCCCGGGACTAGACCAGCTGAGGGGAGGACGCCTGCTGCTGCGCTGCGCCTGTCCAGCCAGTAGGCTGCTGGTGAGTTCGCTGCCGCTGCTTCACTGGTGGCGGATTGGACGGGGTCCTGTTGCGCCAGGGAGTTGATGGTACCGTCGGCGAGGGCCGAGGGGTCCATATCAGCGAAGTATCCCAGTAGGGTGCTGGTCGAGTGGCGAAAGGGGGAGAGGCCGCGCTGAGCCTCCAGTCTGGCCACGTACGCCTGCCACTTGCTCGCGTACACGTCGTTCTGGGAGAGGTGGGAGACCACCCTGGCGGCTGCCGCCCTCTGGCCGTCCCAGGGGATGCCAGCAGGGTGGCAATTCGGCGGGATCGTCTGTCCGTAGATGCTGACGATGAAAGGGCTGAGCCTCTTGGGGGGCCACGACTCCTCGTCGGTCCTCACGCCGGGGATCCCATTGCCGTGGTCCCGAACAAAGTTAGCCCACCGATCGTAGATGTCCGGGTTCCACTCGAGCAAGAAGCGGACCAAAGAGCGAAGGACACCGTGGGCTGGTGGGGATACTTTTTCGGTCGCGGCCGCGAGCGAAGAGCGCAGGCGGCGAAAGCAATTGTTGACTACCTACCAGACCACCCCAACCCAACCCGAAGACCCCAATTTCGGGTTGGGGGGGGTATGGGTTCCATACGTGTTTTTTCGACGTTGGGTTGGGGTGGTTTGGTTGGGTTGGGGTGGTTGGGTGGGTGGTGAATTGTCCGTTTTGCAAGCTGGTGAAGCGTCAACCATTCGGGCTGGGAAATCTCGCATGGGGCATCGGGCCCCTAGGGAAACGGGTCCTGGGCCCCGGGGCCTGCCCCCAGGACGAGATGATCACTCTGAAAATCGCCGTGGCCCCTGGAGGGCCCCGAGAGCCCGAAGATGGCGAGACACCCCAGGACCCGTTTCTGGACAAGCGCGTTCCTCTACTCGCAAGGGAACTGCTCGCAAATGGCCTGGATCCGCTGGGAGCGGTTATCGATACATTACATCGAAGCAAACGTGTTTTTGTTCTCCTGACGTGTGCGAGAGGGCACTTTGCGAGTAGCGGAGCGCGCTCGGTGAGTTCCCCTCAGGACCCGTTTCCCCACGCTCGCCATCGCTCGGACGTCCATTCCCTGTGCATGTTTCGGTCTCGTGCGTGTTTGTTTCTTCGCAGGGTGAGCGAAACGGCTCCTCGATGGCCCTGGCCGAGAAAGAACGCACACCTCCGAGCAAGGCCAAGCCCATGGCGAGAAGTAATGGTTGACCGTATCCGCCAGATGCCCGAGGCCTGCCGCTCCGCTGCTTCTCTGTTCCTGATTCCTGCTCCTCCCCCCTCGGCTATCCGATTCCTGCCCCCTGAATCCTGACTCCTGCCCCTGACTCCTAATTCCTGCTCCTGATTATTGCCCTCTGCTCCTGACTCTGACTCCTGCAACTGACTCCTGTCCCTCTTCCTCATCCCTCGGCGGCGAGCTGGGGGGGGGGGGAAGTGAGAAGGGGCGGGTCTTCTCAGAAGGCTCGGAAATCCCGCAGCTTCCTGAGAATGTGTTGGAGCCTTCCCCGAAGACGCAGAAAACCTCTCATAGGCCGGAGGCCTTCTGAGAAGCCCCGCCGCCTTCTGAGAAGGCGTTCTCCGTCTCACTTCCGCCCTCGCTCGACCCCGACTCATCTCTTCTCCCACTTATGCCAACGATCATCTGGGGGTGAAGGTTTCCCGACACTGTGCAGCGATCGAGGCGTTCTTGATTCGCTCGTCTGGGAGGGGGGCCCCTCGAATGGTTGACACCGATGGGCGTACGGTGCTCTCACGCGCCCAGCGGCCGCCCTCTTTTATTGCAAACTGAAACCTAAGCGTGTGCTGAGTAGCTAGCCAGCAGCCTCCTTCTCTTCATACCGCTCTCCCTCTGGATGTATCCGACCACGTCCGAAAGCCATCGATTGCATCATAGACACTCAACAGCAGCGAGAAAACCTTCGAAAACCAAATCATTGTCCTCCAACATGCTGATCCTCCTGCCCCCCCTCCTCCTCTTCCTCCCAGTGGGCCTTGGCCATCTGGTCCTTGGCCTCGGCGCGGCTCGCCTTGTGCTCCTGTGCTAGCGGATGGGGGAGTGGGGTGAGGGAGACGAGGCGGGAGGAATGTAGCACGAGCACATGGAGCGGGCATATAGAGTTTGAAGAAAGGGGTCACACAATATCAGATGCTGCAAGGTTCGAAAGGGTTGGCAGATCCCTGGAGGCCTCCGGAGCACCCGCTGTCTGAAAACCTCGAATCTCGATCCGCGAAAAGGGAGGCGGAGGAGGAGGAGGGGGGGGGGAGGAGGACGAGGAGCACCACAATAACAGCACGCGAGCACCAAAGCATGCTTGTGAGCACCACGATGTGCTCACAGCCACCAGGATGGCCTTGCCAATGCCGCAACAGTCTGCGAACGCCACGCGTGTGCGCAACGTCCTGCCACAATAGCCCGCAAACGCCATAGCCCTGTCAGGACCCGAAACCCGCCTACTTACAAACACCACAACTATCCGCGAGCACCACGCTGGCCTGCGAGCACCGCTTGGAAACTGGGCGAAGGCTGGCAAATCCGTGGCTGCTAAAACGGCATTGCCGGAAGGAAGCAACAATTCCCCAGAATGAAAACCAGCGCGCGACATACTAAACGGACTACTTCCCAGAAGAAAGCAACAATTTCCTGGAGCTCCGTTTTAGTAGCCACAGGTTTGCCAGCCTCCGCCTGGCTTCTGAACCGCAGTAACCTGCGAGCACGTGAGGGGACGTCACGATTTCCATAGCATAACCATCGAAACTCAAGAAACCCAGGGCACCCTGGAGGCAAGCAGGGTGTTTCTTGGCATGGGTCTCCACTGTAGATTCCTAGGAAGAAAAAGGAAGGGACCATGACGCCCGTGATGGCCCTGGCCCTACAAAAGCAGGGAAAAATTAAGAGACTGGCTGGCCGCAGATTAATGATTGGGAGAGATCGCGAAGACGAGCTGGGGTTGAACTGATGCGACCAACAGTCGGAGAAAAAGGAACCAAGGTCGGAGAGATGGACACACGGGTGACAGAATCGGGTTCGAAAAACGAAGAGATGAGAGCAGGAGCCGTGAAGATCGGAGCAAAGAATCGGAAGGGCGGCAGGGTCGCGCGGGAAGCCAGAGTCATAAAGACAAGAGCAAGAGTAGGAGTGATAGGCGCCAGATTCGGAGAGGTGACCTCAACCATGCGAAACGAATCCGAGCCACCGTGCTGACCACTAGTCATCACTTTCGGCGGCATGGATCAGGCGCAAATCGTTTATGTTCTCATGCACTGTCGTCGCCGTGTAGTTGCTACCCGGAGGGGCTGGTCATAGCGACTCAGTTGGAATCTTGCGTGGCACTGACTCGAATCGCCTGCTCCGACACCTTGACACGTCACAACACTACAGACATGGTGCAGGGCGGTTCTCCCACAGTGAAGTAGAGCATCTGCGGGGGCTCAGAGAAAGATGGGACCCGGGGCAGGACGGTGCTGCGTAGCACATAACAATTGACGTATCTCGGGCCCTCTTGGGCAGTATTCGGGGCTTCTTGGTCCGTCTCGGGGCCCTCTTGGGGACTTTTGGGCAGTCCCGGCGCGGCTTTGGAAACCTCTGGGGTCGCGTTGGACAGTGTTGAATATGAAAAACAATTCGCTAAACAGACCCGCTTTCCGAAGGGGATGTGACGATGTTTGCTTCTCGGTGCCCTCTTGGAGCGGCTTTGAAGCGTCGTGGACGCCACTCGGGCCGGTTGAGACGCACCTTGGGCTGTCCGAGACCACTGGAGGGCGTCATGGGGGAGTGACTCGGGGCCGCCCTTGGCCGCCGTAGCGGCTGTCTGGTGGCTCTCAGGAGCGATCTTGGGCCCCCCACAGGCGGGCCGGGCCCCCCGGCCTGGTACCCCGCTAAATGTGTATATAGGTACATATATATACACATACAAGTACACATACCTACATCCATCCATGCATGCATGCGTGCATGTATGCATGCATACATTCATACTTACATACATGCGGATTACACACACACATCTCTGTATATCGGAGGTTGGGGGGTGAGATCGCAGTGGAACGGAGACCCCCAACCGAGAAAGGGTTTCAATTCGTTCATGTCGTGCGTGCGGGCGAGGCGAAGCTGCGTGGGCGCGCGAGAGAAATGAACTCGCCGTTCAAGACAAATGTTGCTCCTCCGTCAGTCCGTCCGTCCGGCGGTGGCTCGCGGTGTCCCGCGGTGTCCCGTGGTGTCCCGTTGAGTGAGACCGATAGAGAGATCGATAGTGAGATCGCTAGTGAGATCGATGTGGTGCCCCGAGTTGTCCCGTGGTGTCCCAAAAAATGAGATCAATAAAGAGATCGATAGTGAATTTTACAGGTGTCCCGTGGTGTCCCGTTGAGTGAAATTGATAGTGAGATCGATCATGAGATCGATGTGGTTTCCCGAGGTGTCCCGTGGTGTCCCAGAAAGTGAGATCGATAGTGAGATCGACACCCGTGGTGTCCCGTGGTGTCCTGTTGCGTGAGATCGATCGTGAGGTCGATCAAGAAATCGAGAGTTGGATCGATGTGGTGTCTCGGTGTGTCCCGTGGTGTCAAGTTGAGTGAGATCGATAGTGAGTTCGATAGTGAGACCGACAATGAGATCGAGAGGTGTCCCGCGGTGTCCCGTGGTGTCCCGTTGAATGAGATCGATAGTGAGATCAGATCGACAAGTGTCCCGTGGTGTCCCGTTGAGTGAGATCGATAGTGAGATTGATTGAGTCAGATGTCGGTTCCCCCCCTCTCCCCCCCCCCACAACCTCCTTATCACCCGAAGGGTGGTCGTATAGGTGCATCTATATATACACCTATACGACCACCCTGCGGGTGATTAAGGAGGTTGGGGGGGGGAGTGGAGCCAGCAATGGGCAACAGTGGTGATTGTTGCGTTGCCGGAGCTAAGTACCCTGCTTGAGCCGAACCCTCCTTGCTCTCCCCCTTCTCAGATGGGACGGGCCCGAACACGAACAGGGCCCCCAAAAACGATAATGAAGAAACGGGAGCCTTCACTGCGGCCTCCAGGGGCCTCGGTGCGGCGTGAAACTGAACCACGTGATCGATCTATCGATCTCACAAGCGATGTCGTTATCGGCCTCACGATCGATCTCACTATCGATCTCTCGATCGATCTCACAAGCGATGTCGTTATCGGTTTCACGATCGATGGGACCATCGATCCCACTATCGATCTCACTCGATCGATCTCACTATCGATCTCACTCGATCGATTGCACTGTCGATCTCACTCTGGATCTCGCTTTCGATCCCACTAACGATCTCCCTATCGATATTACTCGATCTCACAATCGATATCACTATTCATCTCACTATCGATCTCACTATCGATCTCACGATCGATCTCACTATCGGTCTCACTATCGATCTCACTATCGATCTCACAATCGATTTCGTCATCGGTCTCACTATCGTTTTCACACCAGCAGGACACCGGGACACCGGCGGGACACCGGCGGGACACCGGCGGGACACCGCGGGCCACCGTTTGCCGGAGGGATAATCATTTGGTCCGGCCCGGGCCCAGCCACAAGCGGGACACCGGAGGGACACCGGCGGGACACCGCGGGCCACCGCTTGCGGGAGGGAGAATCATTTGGTCCGGCCGCGCCTCAGCCACAGGAGACTTTCCTCTCGCCCGCCCACGCAACTTCGCCTCGCCTGCACGCATGGCACGCACGAACACGAAACCGAAACCGATTTCCCGGTCGCCGGTGGGGGGCTCTCCGTTCCACTTCGATCTCACCCCCCAACCTCCGATATTCAAGGCTGCATAGGCGCTTCGCGCCATGCACCTTCTTCCTTGAAGCTTTGGAGAGGTTGGCCTGCCGCGCCAGCCCTTGGTCCGTTTGAGGCGTGCTCGCGGGCTCGCTATGGAGAGGCGGAAAGCGGGCCCGCTGCAGATGGTGGCAGTCAATTTAGGACGGGCAAAAAGTGAGGTGGAGGCCCCAGGCGTACAAAATTGCGCAAATGAGTGAGAAAATTGCGGGTATCCACTGGAATCCCGGGTTCGCAACCAAATTTCTAGGAAAATGGTTGCGAGCCCGGGACTATAGGCAGAATGCTGGTTTTCATGGCGAACACTCGGAGGGGCGCGGGCGTGAGAATGCTGAGTGGGCTAATGTTGGGAGCTCCCGTGGCCGTTAGGGCGCCACCTTTGGGCAGTTTAGGGCATCCGACGAGGGCCAAAGCCAACATGGTGCCATTTGTGACCGTCTTGGGCGTCTCGCCAGCCGCCATGTGGCGATTCGGGGGCGGTCATGGGGCCGCGTGTGGGCAGTTTAGGACCTGTCTTGGCCTCTCGTATCGCTTTTCTGGGGTCTCAGGAAGCTCGTTCGGGTCGTCTTGGAGGGGTTTGCAATGATGCCTTCCCGGCGTTCTCGGACGCCTGGCAAGCCGAATGAGGACACAGCAAAAAAAAGGAGGTGAACACCAGTGTTTTCAGGTGTTTCTAAAGCCTCTCGAGCAAGTGCCTTCGAGCATCCAACAAGGGCCTTAACCGCATGATGCCATCTTGGACCGTGTGTAGTGCGGAAGGCCTTGCGCCAGCCGTCAGGAACTCAATTTGGGGCGGTCAGCATCCTCTTGTGGGCAGTTTGGGGACCCGCTTAGGCGCTCATGGGGCTCATTTGGGCTCTCGACGAGCGGTCGGTGCGTTCCCAGTGTTCTCGGACGCGTGAAAGGCTCAATTAGCAAGCATGCGAAAATCATTTAGACAACAATGAAAAATCCATGTTTTTGAAATCCGAACGCCTCGTGGAGGGTGACATTCGGGCCGGCTTCGAGCATCCAGCAAAAGCCTAGGCCGCGTGGCACCATCTTCGGCCGATTGTGGCGTGTAAAAGGCCTTGCGCCAGCCGTCGTGGGGTCACTTTGGGGCGATCCTGGGGCCTCTTGTGGGCAGGTCGTGGAAAGTCTTGGGCGCTCATGGGGCTTTATGGGCGGTCTTGGAGCAAACAACAGAGCGTTTCCAGCGTTCTCGGACGCGTGCAAGCCAGAATCAGGAAGTATTCGAACATCATACAGAAACCAATAAAACAACAATGTGTTTGGGGTTCGAACACCTCCTGGGGGTGACCTTGGGGCCGTCTTCGGGCATCTGGCAGGGGCCAAGGCTAGCTGGATGCCATCCTGGACTGCCTTAAAGGCCTCTTGGGCCTTTCGCCGAGCGATTTGGGTCTGCCAACCGCCTGCTTGCACGCGTTGGCAGGGGTTTCCGCCCACCCCAGCACCGCCGTCGACGTCGCCATGGCCGTCTGTCAGTGAGGGGCGGGCTCCGTCAGGTCGGCCTCCGTCTGCGCCTTCTTCTCCGCCTGCTCCTTGATCTTGCTCTCCAGCGCCTCCCAGCAAATCGGGGGGGATATCAAGGTGGGGTACAGTCGTCGTGCAGGGGATATCAAGGTGGGGTACAGTCGTCGTGCAGTAACGCCGAATCAGGAGCGAAGGGGCGCTTCTGCCTATGGCGAGTCTCGGCTTCGAATGGGGTCCCCGACCTAGATCTGAAAGAACGGCACGAAAACAATAGTCCCTCCTGAGTCAGAGCTATCCAGGGCCTCCTCAGAAGACGGGCGGGCGCTTAGGCTGGGTAAGAGGCACCTCCTGGGAAGTCTGCGTAAGAAATATATTGAATGCGACTACGCTGCTTAGCCAAATTAGGAAGCCATTGGACCGGTTTTGGCTGGATTCAAGCTGGAGTCAAGCCAGACTAAGCGGGATGAAGCGAAATTCAGCTGCAGTCGGCCGGCTTTGGACCGCGTGAATACCATCGCCGATGCTGAGTTTAACCTCCAGGAACTGCCCTTGATCTACTATCCAGGGCCTCCGAAGAAGTTACGGGGACGTCATGGGGGGGAACGATCATGGAAAACTGGCTTAGGGGAAGGGAACATGGAGCCCAAATCGGCGATACATTACCGATAGATCAACGATATTCCTCCGACAGCAAGTCCGAACGTTCCTGCGCGGGGTGGGCTATTGGGCCCCAGTGAGCGATTGGGGTCGATGCATCACCCTCTGAGCCTATCCCCCCTGACGTTGCCCCTGATGTCTAGGTGGGGTCGGAGACAACTCTTAGGAGGTCTTCGTGAGAACGATTCAGGGTCATTTAAAACCGATAAAGTGACCACTGAGGGAGGTTAGCCAGACTCAGCCCAGGATTGAGCCCGATTAAGCGGATTTCGGCGCGATTGAACTGGATTAGGCCTGTGTTCGACCTCGGGCATACCAGCGCCGCTGTTATCGAATTGAACCTCCCAGGAGTTGCATCCTGAAGGTGGGGCAGCCAGGGCTAGCCTGGACGGTCCCTGGGGGTGGGAAGCGTGCTATCACAGAGATTGCTGCATAAGGAATGACGGGGCTTTTCTGACCATGGCGAGCCTCAGCTTCGAAGTGATACCGAAAACCATAACACCTCCTGAGCCCAAAGTGGTGCTCGTTTCATCGTATTCGCTGTAGGGCCAGACTGCCCTGACCCCACCGTGGGCTGATCCTCGGTCTGCGTCCCCCCCAGTGTGGACGAAGCCAGGATGAAGATAGACCCGGATCTAATCTCAAAGAACTGGGGGGTCTGAAAGACGTATCGGGCACCGCGGCCGTTTCAGAGCGCCCCGGAACGCTCCCGCAGCGTTCCGGAGCGCTTTGTGTAGACTTACCTTCATCGTGGGCAGGCCTGCCAATCCCCGACGTGAGTGATATGCTGGTTGGCGAATGGATACGGGGACAACTATTGGGTACGCAAGTGGGGGCGTGCACACTGGTCGATATTGGTGCGTGCGGATAGCCCCCAGATCGGGCGACGTCAACTGACCGCCTGCATTACCGATGCTGGCCGCCGCGCTCATCCTGGGCCGAAGACCCCGGTGTGTGCGACCGGCTGGCTGGGCCGGGGAGGCGTATGCACCGATCCTGGGACCAGGATCGGACAGGCCAGGGTCGGTGAGGTGTTGAGCCGATGCCGTCCTCCTTCATCCCTCCTCCTGCCTCCTCCCCCCTCCCCACCCCCATCCTTTCAGGAACAATTCTGAAACACCCCCTCCCTCCGCTCCTCCTCCCTCCAGGGGGACTTCTGGGCACCTCCTGTGTCCCTGCCTATTCCCTCGCCGCCTCGATCTTGGCCTCGCCGTCGGAGATGCTCTTTTCCAGGTCCGCGACGCCGGTCTTACAATAGCACCTCGGTGACGGTGGCGCTGTTATCGGACCCCAGCACACACCCGGTTCCGTTGTGGGGTTGGGGGGTAGCAAAGAGGACGTAAGGGGGCAACTGCAGGGAGATCTTCGGGTCTTCGGGAGAACGATTGAGGTCCATGAAGCCCGACTAGGACTTTATGAGGCCATCCTTCGCATTGTTCCTCCTCCCTCCTCCTCCCTGTAATATCTTCCTCCCCCTCCTCCCTCCTTCCTCCTCACCTGGCGAGACCTCAAGCGAGGCCACATATGAGGAGACCGCACGAGGAGAGCGAACTTCAACCCTGCCCAATGGGCATCCAACACGCAGAGTGACACAGCTACTTACTGCAGTTGCAAGCACGCGCCCAAAAGGTGCTGATCGCTTGGGATGCATATAGTCTGACTGCAACTGAGCGGGCAACCAGCAACAGTCGAGTACCGCCGTGACTGAGATCTTGAGTACCTCTCTCATTTGCCCGCATCCCCTCCCTTCTCTAATCTCACCTGGACCCTCCCCTGATGCTTCACAACGCAGACCCCGAAGATCTCGACCTTCCCCGGGACCAGCTCGCTGGTGAATGCCCCCGGAAGCAGAAAGTTGTCAAGCAATAAATCCGCAGTGTCTATTTCTCACGACGCGAGGAGGTGGGCCCTCCCTCCCCTCCACTCTGCCCCTCCTCCCAACCTGCTTTACACTTCTCCTCCCCCGACCCCCTTCTCAAACTCTCCGCATCCGCCCCCCTCCCTCCCTCCCGCGCCTCCGCTCGCACACGCCTGATCTTGGCGGCGCGCACAAGGGGGTAGGGGAGGGGGGAAGGCTTCTCAGAAGGCGGCTGCTTCTTAGAAGGCGTCGGCCCCACATCATAGACAAGGCCCGCGCCTCCTAAGAAGCAGCCTCCTTCCAGAAAACCTCCCCCCCTCTCCCTACCGCCCTTCTGCGCGTGGCTGATGATCCCTCCTCACTCCTGCCCTTGTCACCTCCCGTCCTCCCTGGTTCCTCTCTTCTCCCCCCTCTCCCCACCTCACCAGACACCCGACGCCTTGTTGCCTTTTTCTCGCCGTGACCCCCCCAAGAAGGTCTGGACCCCTTCGCTGGACTGGTTTTCTTGGACGGTTGCATAATATTAAGGCCTGGTGAGGGCCCCCAGAGGCAGAACATGAGCAAAATACCCTCCGTCTTGTCTTCTCCACGACGGGAGGATGTCATAGAGGACAAACAACTGCATAAGCCTAATTTATCGGAGGTTCGTGCGGAATTCTAGGATCTGCTCTGGACCCCCCTCCCTGGCGCACGGAACGCGCCAAGGGTTGCGCCGGTGACGCCCCCAGGGGCACAACGCCGATCCGAAGATTCCGCTCGGACCTCAAAGAAATCACGTGTATGCCGTTTTTTGTTCTTCGATGTCAGGGTCCTCCTGCCCAGGATGCCCGTCGGTCAGCAGCAAGCAGCAAACGCGAAGCAGGGCGCTAAGGGCCGCACATGAACTCCTCGGCGCCGCGCATCGGAAACGCATGCGCACTTTGCCAGACATCGCGCTCACAATACCACTCCACTGCGTCTGCACATCGGGTGCGCACGGTATTTTAGGAGGCAGCTCCTGCGACTGGTTTCGCAAGAACGATCAAGGGCTATTTAACTTAGGTCCGATTGAACGGCCATTGAGCCAAATTAGGCCAAATAGCTCCCAGAACTCAGCCGGATTAGTCCGGACTAAGCGGGCGTCAGCGGACTGTGGTGTCTGTGCGCTAGATTAGGCCAACTTTCGGCCACACTGCGTCCCAATCTGCACATTGAACATTGACGGCGCACGCTGGTGCAAAAACTTAGATCTACTCAATAACCTGATTGTTCTCTGGTGGCTTGCGCGAACCCCGAAAATGATAACAGGGACCCGGGCAAAAACTATGAGACCATAAACCGCAGGAGCAGCTGCGCCGAACGTCTCCATTAAGACGTGAGGAAATGGACATTGACGCCCAACATGATATGTACGGTGACACCGACGGCGCAAACAGCACCAAAATGCCCGCATCGCTAACAAAAATCAGCCATCGCCATCCTTGCATTCGTCTGTTCCTGCCCAGCTGCTCGACGTTTCGTGTTCTACGTCGAAGCTGACAAACACAAAACTCCGAATTCCTCACCAAGACCAGATGACGAAGAAATAAAAGATGACCGCGACGATACTACATCCGAAGCCTCACTACTGGCGCTTTTCAAGAATTCGCACGCACTTTTGAAGGGGCAGCCAGGCTGCGGGAGCCAGATTTGTCCAGCGAGTAAGCATGCGTGTTTGAATGCTTCGAACTAAATTGAGCACCATGGTTATTTAACTTATTCCTCCAGTCGTGATGGATGCGCATGACCACTGGAGGCCCCTCCGATCGGGGCTGGGCGCCACAGCAATGTGAGTGCAACTGCGGCGCTCGGGCTACCGAGTGTTGTTGCGGCTTCAGGGGGCCTTGTCTGGCCCGTCGCGACGCTATCCGCGTCGAATCCGAATCCACGTCGAGTCCGCATCGAGCCAGCGTCGGGCACAAAGACATCAACCTTAATGGCACAACAACTCGAATAATGCATCAACAAAGAACTTCAAGAGCTCCGCGCGGATTTCTGGAATCGGCTCTGGGCCTCCCCTCCCTGGCGCGTGGAGCGGGCCAGAGGGCGCTCATTTCCCTTATTTCTTCTTGTAACAAAGATGCAGGACAGGGGAGAAGTGAGGATGCACAACGTAACGAATGCCACACCAAACCACCGAAACTATTCATGCAAATCCGCGCGCCGGGGGGCCGAAGCAGATGGAGAGGCACTTTCGGGTGTTCATTAACAAGCAGACGGCGATCAACGGGGAGGGGAGAAACGTGTACCTTTCGTGCATCGTTTGGGCCCTCGGTGGCAGTTTAGGACCTATTTCCAATGATCCTCACCACGTCTGTAGGCGCGAACGCGTGTCTGTCCACCGAAGCCCTTCAAAACGACGCAGGGGCTGGAACAGGCTGCGCGCTATCGATGGAGCTGAACGTAGAGAACTAACAAACTGGACAAACTGGAAAATGCAAACAAAAAGTCCGCGCGGATTTCTTGGATCGGCGCTGAGACCCTCTCCCTGGCGCGCGGAGAGCGCCAAGGGCGGCGCCAGAGGCGCCGCCAGGGGGGCCCCGCGCCAACGCGTGCCTGTCCACCGAAGCCCTTCAGAACGACGCAGGCGGGATCATGAGGGCCAGCACGGGCCGCGTGCCGTCGGCGGAGCCGAACGGGGAGGCACGCACACTTTTTGCGTCGGCGGCTAGGCAGATGGACTCCGTTGGCGGATAGGGCGTCGCAGGGTAAACGAACGCGAACTGGGCCGCGATGCACGAGGGGGGAGGAGGAGAACGCCCCCCCACACACACACACTCTGGGCTAATACACGTCCTGAGGATCATCGATATTAAGGGCGCCTTTATGATCAGCCCTGCAGTCCGAGATCCCCCCAAGTTCATTGCCCCTGAGATCCGACGTCACAGAAAAATGAAGCATCATGAGAAATCACGACAGGAAAATCCCAGACTTCCATCGTTCTGCCACATCTTGCGAGCGGATCGGTCGGTGTGAGCCCGGGGCCGAAACGTGGCCAGATCGCCCGTTGCGAAACCAACGTGCTGCCAAGATCTCAGGGGCTCACCCGTTGCCGTCCGCCCGGCGCTCCCCGCCTCGGCCCCGGGGCCACGCCCTGCGCTCTCGGCTCGGACTGGTGCGACGTTCCCGCCGCCGCGGGAGGGGGGCAGATGTGCACTGCCGAGGGGGCCGTTGCGGTCGACAGGGAGCTCAGCTCTGGAGAGGGGCCACGTGAGGGAGGGCTCGTCTCACGGGGGGGAAACATCAACCTGGGATCGGCGATGCGTCTCCGATAGATCGGCGCGATAGGCCCCCGAGAGCGGATCCGCACACTCCGTGGAGGGGGTGGCGCTATCGAGACCCCATCGGCGATCAACTGCGATGGGGGGTCGATGCACCCCCCCCTGAGTCTATCGCCCCCCAACGCTGCCTCTGAGGAGGGGCGATATTCGCGGGGCCTATGACGGATAGACCTGAGCTGGATCGAGTCGACAAGTCGGATCGGGTCGGAAACGGATCGCACCGCCAGCGGGTCGTCCCGCATGGAGTCGAGATCGGATCGCCGCGCCTGGCTCTCTGGCAAGCCCTGGCCGAAGCCGGTGAACGAAGCAGAATAGCGTCGAGCCTGAGTCCTGGCCCCAGCCGAGGATCGAATCGCATCCAGTCGCATCGCAGCTCCGCGGCCCCGAGATAGTCCAGCTGGCCGCCCGCCATCGGCAAGAGAGTGTCTCGCACAGGCAGAAGCCACGCACGCGCCCCTACACCCGCCCAGTCACTCTCTCAAGGACGCGCGGTCGCACACTCAACTCCGTCCACGCTCACCCACTCGTCCCGCGTCATTACATCGCTCGCTTGCACTCGATCGCTCGATCGATTCCCCGTTCTCACAGCCGTAAATGCTGATTCCTGCGCCAAATCGTTCACTCACTCAATCACCAAGGGCGCCTAGCCCTGCGCGAAGCGCGAATAACTTCGCGCTCGCGCGCCGCACTCCCTGGGAAGAAGAAAAGGACGAGGGAAGATCAGAGCCGAACCGCGATGCGCGAGGAACTTCACGCCCTCGACGGAACCCTTGACCCACTCACTCAGGTACCCACCGTTCGTCCCTCCTTCACACCCTCAGCAAAACAAGCCATTCGCCCACGCTCGCCGCCCAACCACTCCTCGAGAGCCCACGCTGGCCTTTGCGCCGCGACGCCTGCGGCACCGCCGCCCACGGAAGAGCGCGCAGCCCCTGGCTGCCACGGTCATACCTGGCACCATCTGCTCCCCCCGAGTCAGGCCACGGCCCAGGGGGTGGCGGAAGGGCCCCGAGAGGCCGAGAACGGTGGCGAAGTGCCTTGGGACACCGCCCCCCCCACCCTCGGGACGGACGCTTGCTCTCGCGCCCACCGCTCAGCAACCACCAAGGCCGTACTCCATAAGCGGGCGGTCACCGCAACAGAAAAGGCGCATTCCTTGTACGCGACCTCCTCGGCCTTTCCCTCCGCTGTCACTTTCTTCTCCATCTCCTGCGGGGCAAGCCGTACTCAGACTATGGATGTCAACGCACACTGGAATTGCGCATGGGCTCGCCACTTCCTTCGCAATCTGCTTTGCAACTATACCAGCGCAAATGTGAGAGAATACATGTATGCAAATGTATGAAAATATTAATATTGGGATCAAATCTCCGTGAAACGGAATATTCCCGCAAGACAATGGCTTTCGATTTCGTGCGTGGCGTGCGCGCGATCGAGCTGAATCTTAAGGATAACGAAAATAAAGCTTGACCTAGCTCGGGGCTGTTCACGTTAGACTGGTTTGTCACCCGTGAAACTTCTTTGGGGGGGCAACTTGTCCTGAGGTTGTCCCTTGGTTGGCGCATGGTTGCCCCGATGTGTGTCCCTATGGTTGCTCCGTGGCCGTCGCACTGTTAGTGCCTCGCCGTGGTGGTCCCACGGTTAAGAGACGTATTGATGAGCTGGTATATAGATCGACCGGCGGACCGATGCTGACACACAGTGGTATCTGTAAACGAGGCGTGTGCTCACTGTGCATCTATATATCTGTATATATATACACACTCATGTGTGTATGAGGTATGTGTATATGTATATGCCCAATGGTAGATAGTGGGGACGAGCTATATTCAGAGTGAGGTCGTTCGATACATTGGGGCAGCGAGAGAACGCTGGATCGACAATTATAGACATATCCCACCAGCCCTCCGGGCGTCGGTGGTTTAGAGCGTTTCCTCTTCCACCCCTCCTTCTTCCCCTTCGGGGAAGGGTGTATCACTGTTCCCTATTAATATACCCCCCCCCGGCGACCGTGAGCCAACCAGGGTCAATGCGGGCCCCCCCCCACCATCCCTTGCATATAACAATGCAAAACACACTCTGTCTCCAAATTCGGAGCATGCGCAGCGAACCCGATGCGGCCTCCCCCCACCATCCCTGTCAAAAAGCAATACAGAGTACACTTGGCGGCGGCGGCGGCGGCGGGGGCAGCGGCTGCAGGGGCTGCAGCGGTGGCGGCGGCGGTGGCGGCGGCGGCGGCGGGGGCGGCGGCGGGCGGCGCGGCGGCGGCGGCGGCGGCGGACAGCGGCGGCGGCGGCGGCGGCGGCGGCGGAGCGGCGGCAGCGGCGGGCGGCGGCGGCGGCGGAGGCGGCGGCGGATTCGCCCCCAATAGCTGCCCATCCAAAGTCGACTGCTGCATATGCTGCGGCTCGGGCCAGGCTCGGGTGCTACGTATGCGTTGGGAGGGCGGGTGGGAATGAACGAGACGCCTTGCGGGCGGGGAGGGAGTCTTGACCTCTCCCCCTGCCCCCTCCCCTGGACCTGGACAAGAGGGTTCGCGAGGTGTCAGAACGTCCAAAGCGGCCTCGGCGAGGAAGCCAAAATCATTGATTTTACTATGGTGTTGGCCCCATGTTGGCCTCCTGGGGGGGCTGTAATTACTCACCCCCCTCCTGTGATCGATCTCGCCTAAGATGGCCCAGAGATGGCCTCCAAGGCTCCCAAGGGTGCCCCAAGAGGGCCCCAAGAGGTGGCCAGGAAGCCCCAAGAGGCCCCCAGGAGGCCCCCAGGATGCCCCCAAAAGGCTCCCAAGAGACCTCCAAGAGACCTCTACGAGGACCCAAGAGGCCCCCCAGAGGAACCCAAGACGCTCCAAGGGGCCTCGGCGACAATGCCACAATCGTTGTTTTTTTGCTAAGGTGTTGGCCACATTTCGGCCTCCTGGGGGGGGCACTGCTTCAGATGACTCCAGGAGCGCTTGGGAGAGCCAAAGATGATCTCCAAGATGGCTCAAGATATCCCAAGGTGCCTCAAGATGGCGCCCACGATGCTCCAAGAGGCCCCAAGACCGCTCCAAGACGGCTCCAAGTGGCCAAAGAACTCCCCCAGGAGGCCCCGAAGATGCCAAAATCAGTGTTTTTTGCTTTCCCGCCGTGGCCTCAAGATGGCTCCAAGATGGCCCAAGAGGGCTCCAAGAGCGCTCCCAAGGCTCCCAAGAGCGCTTCAAGTGGGTCCCAAGAGGCGTCCAGGAGGACCCCAGGAGGCGCCCAAGAGGCCTCCAAGAGGCTCCCAAGAGACCCCCAAGAGGCCCCAAGCAGCTCTCCGAAGCACCCAAGACGCTCTCAGAGGCGTCCGGGACCGCCAAGAGGCCCCCAAGACGCTCCAAGAAGCCTCCACTGGGGGACCCCTCCTCTGTGTGCTGCCCGCTTCCCTGATCGAGGCAATTCCTCTGGGCATCGTTTCTGGATGGGCTGGTGGGGATTATTCCCAACCATCCTGTGGTGTTGGGTCCTCGTTTTGAAGAGACAGCGCCCCGCGTTCACTCCTCCTCCTCCCGCTGCCCCCTCCCTCCTGCCATCATCATCATCATCATCACCATCATCATAGTCATCATCATCATCATCATCGTCATCATCATCATTATCAACATCATTATCATCATCATTCCTCTCCTCTCCTCTCCTCTCCTCTTCTCCTCTCCTCTTCACCCACCCAGTACACTGTTTCGTGGCTCCATAGGGAGCTCCACCGAAGGCCCCAGTGCCCGCGCCCGCATGCGTCACCCACACCCATTTCGGCACACCCCTCACACGTTTCGTGGCTCCATAGGGAGCTCCACCGAAGGCCCCAGTGCCCGCGCCCGCATGCGTCACCCACACCCATTTCGGCACACCCCTCACCGTCTCCACAAGGCCCCAGTACCCATGCGTCACCCACACCCATTTCGGCACACCCCTCACACGTTTCGTGGCTCCATAGGGAGCTCCACCGAAGGCCCCAGCATGCGTCACCCACACCCATTTCGGCACACGCGTGGCTCCCTCCACCGAAGGCCCCAGTGCCCGTGCGTCACCCACACCCATTTCGGCACACCCCTCACACGTTTCGTGGCTCCATAGGGAGCTCCACCGAAGGCCCCAGTGCCCGCGCCCGCATGCGTCACCCACACCCATTTCGGCACACCCCTCACACGTTTCGTGGCTCCATAGGGAGCTCCACCGAAGGCCCCAGTGCCCGCGCCCGCATGCGTCACCCACACCCATTTCGGCACACCCCTCACACGTTTCGTGGCTCCATAGGGAGCTCCACCGAAGGCCCCAGTGCCCGCGCCCGCATGCGTCACCCACACCCATTTCGGCACACCCCTCACACGTTTCGTGGCTCCATAGGGAGCTCCACCGAAGGCCCCAGTGCCCGCGCCCGCATGCGTCACCCACACCCATTTCGGCACACCCCTCACACGTTTCGTGGCTCCATAGGGAGCTCCACCGAAGGCCCCAGTGCCCGCGCCCGCATGCGTCACCCACACCCATTTCGGCACACCCCTCACACGTTTCGTGGCTCCATAGGAAACTCCACCGAAGCCCCCAGTGGCGGCGCTCACATGCGCATGCGTCCCGCACACCCATTTCGGCACATCCCTCACAGGTTTCGTGGCCCCATCATCCACCGGAGGCCCCAGTGGCGGCGCTCACATGCGTCACCCACACCCACCCAATTCGGCACACCCCTCACACGTTTCGTGGCCCCATAGGGAGCTCCACCGAAGGCCCCAGCGGCCGCGCTCACATGCGTCCCCGCCACCCATCCCGGCACGCCCCTCACAACAACAGGTTTCGTGGCCCCATGGGGAGCTCCACCGAAGGCCCCAGTACTGCCGCCCGCATGCGTCACCACCCGCACCCAATTCGGCACACCCCTCACACGTTTCGTGGCCCCATAGAGAGCTGCACCGAAGGCCCCAGTGGCGGCGCTCACATGCGTCCCCGCCACACATCCCAGTACACCCCTCACGCGCTTCGTGGCCCCATAGGGAGCTCCACCGAAGGCCCCAGTAGCGGCGCTTACATGCGTCTCCGCCACCCATCCCGCCCCCCCCCCCCCGCAGCAGCATCATGTTTCGGGGACCCATAGGGAGCTCCACTGGAGGCCCCAGTGGCGGCCCGCACATGCGTTTCCGCCACCCATGTCGGCACGCCCCGCGCGTGTTTCATGTCCCCATAGGGAGCTTCGCCGAATGCCCCAGTGGCACCCATCTCGGCACACCCCTCACACGTTCCGTAATCGCATGGGGAGTTCCATTGAAGATGAAACCCGCAGCTGCGGTACTGACAACTGCACATGGTTGGGTTCTTCGCCAGGCTGATTTTTTTGGTCGGCGGCTCCGAGGCAACGGTCACGGTACGAGGCGAAGCTGCAAACAAAGCCGCCAGCGTCGACGAGCGATGCTCACGCCCGCAAGGCAGGCCCGCGGCTGCACATGCACAATACAACATGAACTAAATTCAAAGGCGCAGCAACGAAGTAAGTCGCCAGGGCGGCGCCCGACTACATGCCGGCCTGCGCAGGCTGCACAGGCGTTGCAGGCTGAACTACACAGCGCCCGTGCCTCAGAAGGCAGCCTCGCGGTGCCGAGGGGGGCCAGCGGCAGCCCAAAGCGCACCTGTGTTGCCGGGCCCTGGGGCGGGGAGGTCCGCTAGCGTACCGAGACAGTGCGCGGGGAAAACCAAAGGCTGCACAGGCGTGTAGGCTGAACCACTCATCGCCTGGCCCTCAGAAGTCCACCTCCCGGTGTCGAGGGGGGGCAGTGGCAGCCCAAGGTGCAACTGCATTGCCGGGGCGGGGCATGAAGCGTGGAGACGACTGCGCTGCGGTGGGGATGAAGTGCCAAGCCGCCCCAGACTGTCGCGTAGCGCTGCCCCTGAGCCCGAGCGCCGTCACACGCCAGGTGTCCCCCCGCGGCCGTGGAGACCGTCGTTTGGCCGGGAAGACCAACACAACGCGAACCACGGGACGAGCAGGGGGGGGCGGGCCGCAGTCTGGCGAAGGCCGCGACGGCGAGCCCCGATGGCACGGGCGGGGGGCGACCACCGAGCCAGGGGAGAGGCGGGGGCGCAACGCCGCGCCCGACGGCCAGACCCTGCAGCCGAAGCCGGGGCAGCGGCCAGTCGCATGGCGCGCCCAGATGGTAGCTGCTACTCAGCGAGAGCACCTGCGCGGGAGAAGGGGGG